CCACCATGCCCAGCTAATTTTTTGTATTTTTAGTAGAGACAGGGTTTCACCATGTTGACCAGGATGGTCTCGATCTCTTGACCTCGTGATCCACCCACCTTGGCCTCCCAAAGTGCTGGGATTCCAGGCTTGAGCCACCGCGCCCGGCCTAGACTCTTTAACAGTTGTTTTAGAAAGGTAATTCTGTAGAGTGCTCAGGACTCTGAGTTGAATAATGATTTAAAGAGCCTTGCTTCCAAAATGGAAACTTGGAATAGAAGAAACCCATTAGTATTCCACAAGCCTCAAATACTGAAAACAGCGTCTGTTGTTGTTGCAGCTGGTTTTCATTAATAGAAAATTTTGCGTAAACTCCATAAATTTTCTCCCTGTTAGTATTTCACTGCCTCCCACTTTTTTCAAATCCAAGTTGATGTTTGAATCTTTTAACAGTTGGAGTGCAGTGCTAATGAGACAAAGGTTATGAGTTCACGTTTCAGACAGGCTTATAGCTTCATTTTGGTCTGCTTGCATATGGATTGCCTACCTCATCCCATCTAGTTCACATCTGTGGATTATGAACCATATAGGAGTGTATAGGTATGAATACGCTTAGGAAAACAGCTTAAAACCCATATGTTTTAGAAGAATATCTGTAGCAAGACAATTTACATAAGGGGATGCACTTGATTTATTATCACATAGGGTTTTTTAAATTCCATGTTTGGTTTTGGCCGTCTTAGCCTGCTCTAACTGATTAGTCTGAAAATAAAATCATTTTTTTCTTACTGAGACTACTTCAAGTCTTATTTTCCCCACTTCAGGTAAAATACTTTAGATATGGAAATTCATTCAAAATCACAAATAGTTGCAGAAGGGATTCAGATAAAGACATTAGAATTTATGGAGGTTCTGAGTGACTGTCTTTAAGAATAAAAATTAATACCCTTTTATATATAAATATATATAACAATATATGATATTGACTAGGATTTATTTTCTTAGTTTGCAGTGAGTGCAGTAGATCTTGAAATTAGAATTCCTTCTAACCTCTTTGTTACATTTTATTGAGCTGTGCACACACACACACACACAGTAGTGTCATTGGCTCCTTCACCCCTTCTTTCCTTCTTCCCTGTATGGTACTAATATCCTTAAACCTGTTTTTAATTTTTTCGTTCGTTCGTTCATTCGTTCTTTTAATCAGCAAAGGCTCTGTCAGCCATAAATCTGATTTTTAGATCCATCTTTCTCCTTCTAGGTTTGCTGGAATGCAACTGCTGTTTATTCTTTGTCCCCTTTTTACAGATTGATATTTGGGGTAAATTTACTTCTGTACGCATGAAGACCTCCCTTTGTAATTTCCCTTGGAGATTCTGATGAGGTTTCACTATTAGGACATGAGTGCTTTTGTCATTTTATTTACATAAGCACATCTAGGAAATAGAGCAGGTAGTTCTTTATTCCCTTCTTATGTTGATGTAAAATCTGATACTTGGCAACTAAAGAAAGAGTGCAGCTCTTCATCTAAATTAGTCTTGCATAACTGGGGTAGAAAAACTGTTGGGTTTTCCCATCCTGAGACCGTTAGTGATTATAGGAGCAACTGCTACCACCAGCTTTTCATCTCCCTAACTTGGTAATACTGAACTTAAGAACTTTTAGAAAGATACATAATTTTTAAAATCCCTCTTTTTTCAAGAAGTGTTATTTGCTAGCCTTTTGTTAGCAGCAGCTGATCCCAGACACTGATCTAACTCTAGTCTGGGTGACATTTTCCCTTCTAGGCCCATTTTCATTAGAAAACTTCCTAGCTTTTGTCATGCCCAAGAATGAAAGCTGCTTTTCCCTGGGAGCTGGTGGAAATTTTTTAGACCAGCCTCTTACTTCCTCTTTTTAAGTGGTGACGTACCAGATGCTGGCTACATTAAGGAAACCAGGGAGAAGGAATGGGGAATTCTGGGTATTATATGTGATTTTTTTTTTTTTCCTAATTGTACAGAGTTGTAGAAAGAATGAATAGATTTAACCTAAAGTTTATAATAAGCTCTGGAAGGAGGGACTGAGCATAGGGCTTTGCTAATGATGTCACATTTTTTAAAAGATGGTTGTGGTATTTGGCTGCTGCTTTAATAGAATAACATGTATGTGAGGGTATGTCTGTTTTCCCTGCTTGCCAGGTGATAGTGGCTACTTATCTGTAGGTGTTATTTAAAAGGTGCTTGCTAGTACTTGCTTATGTCTCTTCTTCATTATGCTGAAATGATGTCATCACCTTTTGTGGACAAACCTAGTTTACTTGTCTGCACTATACTTCTGCCACCGCCCGGTTTTTACTATATTGTTCTGGGGCCTTCCCATAATAAGTATTAATGCATTGCCAGAAAGAAGGATTTTCATGTTTTTGATAGGGAAAAGATCAAAAGCCTTTATTTCTGTTTTATATGACCCTGCAGTAGGCAGAACAACATTGTGTCTTAATAGCATTCCTTCTTTTTTTTAAGTCAGGTTTTACTGCTGAAAACATTTGTTGCACTGAGGGCCTGTAGTACTTCTTACTAACAGCAAAGATATATCATTGATAATTTATAGATTTAAAGCATTTTTTTGGTGATGGCATAAAATTAAGAATGTACTGTTAGCTTATGTTTTCTTGAGGTTGCTTTTCTTGTTATATATGCATTTAACTGATTGGCAACGAAAACAATAGTATTGTCATAGCTAAATTTTTCTCACAGTTTTTTTTCTTTTCTTTTTTTTTTTTTTTGAGACAGGATCTCACTCTGTCACCCAGGCTGGAGTGCGGTGGCGTGATCTTGGCTCTCCGCAACCTCTACCTCCCAGGGTCAAATGATTCTCCAGCCTCAGCCTCGCTAGTAGCTGGGATTACAGGTGTGCTCACCATGCCTGGCTAATTTTTGTAGTTTTAGTTTTTTAGTTTTAGTTTAGAGACGGAGTTTTACCATGTTGGCCAGGCTGGTCTAGAACTCCTGACTTCAAATGATCCACCCCTCTCAGCCTCCCAAAATGTTGGGATTATAGGCATGAGCCACCGTGCCTGACTTATTTTTTCATTATATACTTTTTATTTTGGTTCCTCTTCCCCACTTTCATTTCTGAGTTTTTGCTGACAGTGCAGCAACACCTGATAGTATAGGTAAAAAGAGATTTTCCTTGTTTACTTTAAGAGCATGTGTATTTGCTTTTTTCTTAGAGTAAGCTTCCCTACTTTAGGAGGATACAATGTTCATAGCTAGTTTTGTACAAATCTAATTTTACCTGGCACAACTTTGTTGGGAAACAGAAACAGATTAGAAACTTTAGTACCAAGAAATTTTGAATAAAGAAGATACTGTTTTGTATGATGTGTGATGAAAACTTGGCTTTTGGTGAATGCTCTGTTTCATATTCTAAGCCTGAAATTGCAGGGCTACATTTTCCTATGATAACTTCCTTTATTTCATCAAAACTCTAATAAGAAAATTTGTTTCCCAAGCATTCAAACTTCTTTTTTTTAAAGGAATTTCTTTGTCTGGCATCTTAGTCTGTGTACTGTTAAGAAAACATAGGAACCTGTTTATAACTTTTTTTTTTACTGTTGGTTTGTAAGATTAATTCCTCTTTAAGAAATTATAATAATATATATTGTTGAGATAAGGCTCTTCTGATAATATGACAAGTATCAGCAAGTACTTCCATTTGAATCTTTGCCAATTCATTACATTGTGTTTTTTAAAAATTGATTATACCTTCAGTTTGACCTGGGCACAGTGGCTCACACTTGTAATCCAGCACTTTGGGAGGCTGAGGCAGGCAGATCACTTGAGGCCAGGAATTCGAGACCAGCCTGGCCAATATGGTAAAACCTTATCTCTAGTAAAAATACAAAAATTAGCTGGACATGGTGGCACATGCCTGTAATCCAGCCATTCAGGAGGCTGAGGCATGAGAATCACTTACCCAGGAGGCAGAATCACTTACCCAGGTTGCAGTGAGCTGAGATTGGGCCACTGCAGTCCAGCA